TGTGAACATGTAATCCCCATTTGATAGATGAGGGAACTGAGATTTAGTGAGATTAAGGGATTCACTCATGATCCTGTTGCTTTGTGTAGGAGTCCAGATGTAACCAGCAGCAGCCAGACTAGTTTAGAGACAAAACCCTGAGGCAAGAGATGGAAAGGGTTCGAACCACAGGGGCAGTGGAAAGCAAAGGGGGCAGGACTTGATTAGAACAGAAGAGGAAATTGATGGACTGCTGAGCTTGATTGAAGAGGGTGGGGCAGATGGAAGGAATTCATGATGGCTGCAGCAGCCTCTGTTCTTTGGGACAACAGAAGCTGTTACGGGAAACCAAGTGTTCCTTTCTGCGGAGATGAACTAACAGTTCCATTGGGATTGCTGTGTGTGGCAGCCCCGGCTCTGAAAGGAAGGGATGGAGAGTGTGAGAACTGTCTTTACAGAGTCATCAGGCAACCGTGGAACAGAGCCACTTCTAGATAATTCTGAGACCTTCCTAGGTTATCAACAGGAACATGTGACTTCTCAGTATTTCACCATGCCCATCAGGATCCAGTTCAAACTCCCCAGAGAGCATGGCGCCCTTTTTATCGTTATCTGAACCGGCTGATCTATGGGCTCCGGGTTCATGCTCCAAAGGCCCAGCCCGGCTGCCCTGAAGGCAATTCTTCAAATGTCCTTAGGTCCAGGCCCTCTTCCTGTCTCCCTCTTCCCCTCCTCCCTTCCGCAAGCCTGTCTAATGAGAGCACAGGCAGCAATGCTGTGTTCAGGGAGCCTCTCTTCCCTCCACCCTCCCTTTTCCAAGGCACTGGGTCCTCCCCCTTCTCTGTGCTTCTCAGAATCAACAAAATTTGTATTTAAGCCTTGCCACAACCAAGCAAGGTGCTAGGTGCTTTAATTATGAATCTCAGCATCTCCCTCGGTGTGGTAATTACATCCCTGGACACACATGAAATGTTCCTCAGTAGATCTGAATGAACTTTTAAATTTTTAATAGCTATGCCTTTGCTTTAATGTTCATTAAGGGGAAAAAAATATCAGGACTCACACATCAAACCCACAATTTCACAGGCATTGCAGCTTAAGATGAAGCAAAAGTGGGTAGCAATGCTAATGAACCACAGTTGACTCTGAACATCACAGGGGTTAGGGGTGCTGACATCCCCTTACAAGTGGACCTGGGCAGTTCAACCCTGTGCTGTTCATGGTTCCACCCATCCATTTTGAATGGGTGGTTGGAAATTGTATGCCAAGGGCCAATTTAAGTTATAGACAAATTTTCCATCGCCCTAACCACCGCCTTGTTCCAGGGTCAATAAGGATTGTAGAGGTTACAGGGAGATATAGCCAACATTTTAAAGGAAAGATGTTAACCCCTGAAGTCTGAGGAAATCTCACTTAATCCCTACAACAACCTTGTGAAATAGGCATCTTTACATTTCTGAGATTGGAAGCCTGCAGGTCACAGAGATTAAAAACTTGCCTCAGGTCACAGACTTGATTTCAGAGAGGGAGAGTTGGAAACATCAATGATGAGAGAGAGTTCTTGATTGACTGCCTCCTGCATGCCTCACACTGGGGATTGAGCCCGAAATCCAAGAATCTCAACTGTGACCTCCTGGTTCAGAGGTTGATACTCAACCACTGAGCCAGCTAGCCGGGCAGGTTGCAGATTTTTCAGGAGGGGACAAAATGGCTCTCAGTTGGGTTATCTACTCCTCCTTCCCTATGAAATTCACACTGGCTCTGTGTGTTTGCATCTCTCTGTCTCTGGGCGGTGGAAGATCTTTGAAAGCAGGACCAGGCCTTCATTGTCTGCATGCCCCAGGCCCAGTGCCTTCCCAGGGCTCAGTTGGGTTTACTGAGGTTCAGTGGAAAGAATAAAGACCTGGAATGATTCCCAGGGCAAAGCATCTTCACCAGCATTTGCATTTAATTCTCTCAGCATTCCTGGAGAGAAAGGATTATCACTACCATTTCTGCTTCCCTAGTGCAAGCACTGATGAAGGTCAGTCTTGCCTTCGAGGAAGGGTAGAAGCTAGGGACATTCCTTGGGAATGGAATAAGAAAACTGAGACAGATTTCTGGACAATCTGGCTGAGCAGTTTACAGTCAGGTACAGAAGACCAGGAGGTGGAAAGCTCCCAAGGCCTAGCAAAGGACAGTCAGTTGAAGGGTGGGTTATGAATATATGATAAGACAGTAGGAGAAGAAGCCTCCTCCTTGAGCAAGGAAAGACTTGGGGCAAATCCAGTCCCCCAACTGACATACTTCCTGGGGGAAGGGGTCATTCCAGTTTGTTAGTGTTTTCCTTCATTACTTTTTTTTAATTTTATTTATTTTTTTTACTAGTGACAAAATAATGTAAGTCATGGTCAAAATATTGGGAGGAGAGTAGATTCATATACATGTAAATCATAATATAAATGGAGCCACTTCAAAATGGAGTCAGAGCTGCCATCCCCGAGGAATAGCCTTGCACAGCTAACTCCTCAAACCCTTAGCCGAAAGGACCTGTGGACAGGGCTAAAACAGCACTACATTCCAAACAGCTGCTGTTATAAATATGGGAGTGACAGAGGTGTCCTTGAGAATGGGCATCACTATGTTATCTTATCTGCACCCATAGAAAACCTTCCTTAGCTTCTCAGCCGTGGAAATTCTTTCCTTCTGTTCCTATAGTTGTCCCCCTCCCCTTTCTCCTAAACAATGCCTGCCTTCATCTCTGGATCAGAACACTGTTTGGCTTTCTGCCTGAATCACAACTTCCCCAACAGCTCCTGCTCAGCTCAACAAATGCTTCTGCCTCTCACTTTGCCATTTTAGTTTTAGGTTAATAAGATATATATATATATATATATATATATATATATATATATATATATATATATATAATTTACTTATTTATAATTATGTAATATATAAAAATGTATGATACATACATATAAAATTTCTATAAATATTTCTTACCACCCAGAAATGATAACATTTTTGCGAGTGTGTAGAATATGGAGGATAAGTAGAATGGAGGGCTAGGGAGGAAGAGAGAAGAGGAGGAGGAAGGGAGAGAGGCTTAATATTTGCTCTTTCCCATGGCAGAGTTCTTATAAACATGAGTTAGTGATCACCTGCATCAGAATTGTGGTTGCTATGCATTATTTTTAAAAATGCAGATTCCTGCCCAGTTGGTATTGCTCAGTGGTTGAGCATCAACCCATGAACCAAGCGGTTACCATTCAATTCCCCATCAGGGCACATGTCCAGGTTGTGGGCTTAATCCCCAGCGGGGGGCGTGGAGGCAACTGGTCAATGATTCCCTCTCATCGTTGATGTTTCTATCTCTCTCTCCCTCTCTGTCTCTCTGAAATCAATAAAAGCATATTTTAAAAATGCAGGTTCTTGCCCTCAAGCTACTGAAATGCAGTCTCTAGGAGGAGCCTGGAGCTCCACAGCTGAGAATATTCTGGAACAAGTGCCTCACAAAAGTCATCCTGGGGAGAGGGGGGTGGAGGGGATTTTTCGTGGTGAAAACCCTCCTCAATGTTTATTCCCAGGCCTGCCTGGCCACCTGCAGTTTTGAAGAAAGAGTCCATTATTCTTCACAGGAAAGGGTAGGTGTGCTGCCATGGCCTGCTAGGATGTTCGCAGATTTGGGGCTTCCTCCCTGGACACCGGGGATAGAGTGTTTGGAGATCCTTGGGGCTGAGGGTAGGGGAAATTGAAAGGAGGCTGAGATCTGAGAGGCTGAGCACCAGGGAGGTGAGCTGAGGAGAAAGCCGGACATTTGCAATGCCGGAGGACAGAATTCCTGGAGACTCACATCAGTGGGAACACAGCAGGACTCAAGTACAAGGTGAGTGTGTCAGGTCTGCAACTGAGTATGCTGACAGCCCCACGGCCATGCTTTCCATTCAAACCAAACCTGTCTTTGCAGGAAACAAAAGAACACAGAAGCCCTACCACATCTTCTCTCTTACTTCCTTACTTTTGTGCATTAGTCACCTGCCTGGGCTGAAAGTGAGGATGTTGAAGCAAAGGCAGCCATAGTTCCTTCACCGCTCTTCCTTACTCCTCAGTGAGGTCAAATATCCATACAAATGTGCACGCACCAGGGAATGAAATCAAACAACTGAGTGAGTTCTGTGCAATGTCCCTGCTGCTCCGGTAGCAATGAAATACGAGCAATGTGATTTTATCAAGTCTGCATGTAAAACTGGCCTCACACAACACAAACAGAAAAATCCATGCTAATATGTAAATTTTATAAAGAATAGTCTTACAGATGCTCAATGGTGTGGCTTGCGGTTTTCTGACTTATGGTTGTGCGGAAGCAGTATGCCTTCAATAGAAACCAGACGTGGAACTCTTGAGTTTGGATCTGGCCAGATGCAGGGAGCTACAGCTCTGTCAGCCACACGACCATGAGAGTAACCAACCCTCCACAGTACACTTAGTGTGTTGCCGAGTTTTATGGAAATTGTGTTGAGCATATATATGAGGCTAAGCTAGGCTGTTCGGTAGGTTAGGTGCATTAAATGCATTTTTCAACTCATAACAAACTTTTAAAAAGTCAAAAAACTAGAAAAAGAGAAAAAAATAAAAGGACTAGGCCAGAGAGACCACAGAGGAGCCTGTAGAGCATTGCAGTAAGTGAAATAAGCCAGTCAGAGAGACGAGTACCACATGACTTCACACATATGTGGAATTAATGAGCGAACTGAAAAAACAAAATAAAGCAGGCAGACAGCTGATGGGGGAGCTGCTGGAGGGACTGAGGGGAAAAAAAAAAAAAAAGGCCATGGAGAGGCTGGAGGAAAGGACAGCTTTCTACCTGTCATGCCTGTAAGGGCACTTTACTCCTGCCTTTTGACCAAGGGGACCAACAAATTATGTAGCTGGCCCTGGGGGTGAGTAGTAACATTTGAGGGGGAAATGGCCTCACATGTTTAGTAAACAGTTCAAGTGGGACCTTATTTCCCAGTAATTGAAAGCAACACACTCTTTGGGGGTTTGATCACCTTTATTTTTCCCTTCCCACAACCAGTTAAAAAAAATACAATCAATACAGGTACAAGGATCCAATTTGTAGAATACAAAGAGGGCCGCAGTTTTTGTATTTACAGGGAGGCATGGGCAGAGCTAACAGAGACGTGTTGAAAAGCCAGCATTACAAAATACAGAGGGTCTTGTTTCCCTTGACATTTCCAAATGAGAGCCCCAAACAAGTCCCACTACTATTACTACATAACTTATAAAAACGCTGTACAGGTGCACGGCTATAAATATGGCGTAGAAATGGCTGTTAGTTAGGGAATTGGTATCTACACGGGGGAAGGCCAGGGGAGGGCTTGGTTTGGTGTCCCGGCCTGTCATGACAGATGCGCTGTGGCATAGCTCCCCCTCCCCGGACCTGGCTGAAGCTTCCTCTCCAGGGAGAACTAGAGGTGAGGGATGAGGAGGGCAAAGGGGTAAATACTGGAGCGCTAGAAGGCACAGAGGGCATGTGGAGCAAGAAGGAGCACTTCCCTTGGACACACACACACACACACACACACACACACACACACACACGGACCCTGCTGACACCTGATCTCAAGAGGCAACAGGTGGGTCAAAGTGCATCCTGACTCCTGGAAACTCAAAGACTCAGCAGGTAAAAATGCTTGGACTAGCCAGACCTGCCCAGGAGAGGGGGCTTTGGGGGCCACTGGGAAGAGAGCAAGGTCCATGCCTGTGTCCTCCTCCAAGGCCTCTTGCCCTGAACTGGCCTGCTCTGGGGTGAGGACGCCTGGGTGGCAGCTGCTCTGGGTTGCAGCCAGGCTTTGGTGAAGGAGAATTTTATCACAATAAGAAAAGCCTAGGTGTGTGCATCTTTGAGAACCTTCCATAAATTCTTCCCTTGGGACTTCAGAAGATGGTTCCGTCTGAGAATAAGTCCCATTGGCCGGCCCATCAGGAGTGGGTGGGTGGGTGGGTGGATGGGTGGGTGGAGGGGATCGTTATCTAGCCAGGTGTCATTGTCTAATTCTTTCTGCACCTTCCTGGGAGTGGGAGACCCAGGGAGAAGGGGTGGAGCCAGAGTGACCAGGCAGGCTGACACATGCGCAAAGGGGAACGAGAGTCAGAGTTGATGTTGATGCCATTTCTCAGCAAAGTGGAGAATGGCGTTGCAGAACCAAGGAGGGAGCCAGGGAGACTTGGGGCCCCTCCTCCTACCTAAGGGCAGCCCCTACAAGGCTGTGAGGCTGGAGGTGGTGTTTGTGTTCAGGGTGTCCTCTTGGGACTTGGGTTCCTCTGGGGACTTGAGGACCCCTTCCGGGACCTCCACAACCACAGAGATGGTACGAAAGGACTCGGGGACCTTGATTTGGGTTTCCTCCTCCTCCTCTGTGGGCTCCCGGCAGCACTTGCTGCAGCGGCAGCACCTGGGGCAGCAGAGCGAGCAGCAGAAGCGGCAGCAGATGCGGCAGCAGCAGCAGCAGTTCCTCATGCAGCAGCCGGTGGCCAGGGAGATGGCAACGTCCCAGGGCTTCAGCGAGCGCATGCACATGGGCAGGAAGTTCCAGGTCTGGAACACCTTGGGCAGGATGCGGGGGCAGCTGGCCTGCAGGAGCTTGAGCACCAGCACCAGAAGGATCACGAGGACGATGGGCACCCCCACGCCCACTAGCACTGGCCAGCCAGCCAGCGAGAGGCCAAACACGGCCAGCGGGAACAGGAAGAATAAGATGACCAGGTAGAAGACGGCAAACCAGCGGTACTTAGCTGAGATGTTGCCCAGTCCCTTGGCCAGGCGGATGGGCAGGCGAGTGTACGGGATTGGGTACCACAGAAGGATACCCGTGACATTGAAGAAAAAGTGGCACAGGGCGATCTGAAATACAAAAGGTTGAACAGGTGAATGGTCTGTCGCATGGTGGTGTTTGGGGAAGGTCGGGGGGTAAAGGGATGTCACCAAGCTGGCTGAGGTAGTAGAGTCAAGGGGTCTGTATTGCCTGAGGGCCTGCCATATGTCAGGTTGAGGGGAGGAGTGTGTGTGTGTAGGGGTCGGGGGGAGTGGAGAGGAAGGTTTACTAGTTTAATTACAGCACAGTTTTCAGAAACTGAAGTCCTTTAGGCAAACTAACAATGCACCTCATGCATGTGCCCACTGCTAGCCTGTGCATTGGCCCTGCAGTTTCCAGCTGGGCAGTTAAGAGCTGGAGGGGCAGAGGGCAAGGCTTGCAGGATAGCTGGGTTCCTTGGCTCAAAGCCTCATTCCAGGGAGAGGGGAGGAAAGGAGGAATGGGGACAGTTAGCAGCATCAGCAGCTGAAGTTTATAATGTTTACCAGGAGCGAAACAGCTGTTCCAAGCACGTTGTGTGGATTCCTTCAATCCTCAAACAATATCCTATGAGGTGGCTATCAATATTGTCCCCATGTGATATTAGCAATAATGGAGGCACCTTGGGATTAAGCTCATTTTCCCAAAGTCAAACAGATGAGAGAAGGTAGAGATGGGTTTCAAACCCAGGAAGCCTGACTTCAGAGGCCACTCACTGTCCTATGTCCTCCCACAAGGTGCCAGCCATCATGCTAGGGACTTGAACCAGCCCTGGCTAATAGAGTAGACACGTGTGGCAACTGAGCGCTTGAAATGTGGAAGACTTAGTCCAAAAGAGAATGTAAAATATTACATTTAAAAATAATGATTACATGTTGAATTGGTAATGGTTAAATAAATACATCATTAAAATTGATCTTCCTGGTTTTTTGTTGGTTTTTTTTTTCCTCATTTTTTAAATGTAGCTACTAAAAATTTCAAATTACATGGGTGACTTGAATTTGTATACTACACGCACATTATATTTCTATTGGACATCATGGCTTTAGCCAGAACCTCAGGTCTTGATAATGCCTATGATTCCAAAATACTCCTTCTGTCTCTATCATGTGGCCATCCCACTTTTGTTTAATCAACTGCCAGTGACAGGAGTCTCACGGCCTCTCAAAGGAGCAGATGGCTTCTCCTCCACATTACCATTTTAGACTTAGGAGAAGCAGGTTCTTGTTAGAAACCATCTGCTTGCAAGACCACAGATATTCTTGCATCCCACCCCTAGAGCCCCTGTCCCACAGCATTTCCTGACCTGGAGTGCAGACTTCAAGGTCTTGCCTGGACTGGCCAAGGCGGCCATGATAGCAGTGGTGGTGGTGCCGATGTTGGCCCCCAGTGTGAGTGGATACGCCCTCTCAATACTTATCACTCCAACACCTGGGGGGAAATACAAAGTCCATCACATCAGTTCCAGAGGATGACAGGAGATGGTGACGGTGCCAGGGGGAGAAGCCAGAGAGAAACTCACCGATCAGTGGGGTCAAAGTAGACGTGAACACTGAGCTGCTCTGCACAATGAAGGTCATTCCTGCCCCCACTAAGATAGCCAGGTAGCCAGTCAGCCAGGAAAAGGGGAAAGGGAAATCTGGAAGACAGAAGGAAAAGTGATCTGTCACAAGCCTTCTAGGAAGGTATGGGATGGAGGCCTGGGGGAGGGAGGGGAGGTGGCATCTCCACAGGAACAGAGTGGGTGCACGTGCTAGGGTAATAAACCTGTGGGAAGGCTGGTTTCACAGTTCTGGATTTGAGCTGGAGTTTTCAGGATCTTGCAAACATGAGATGCAAGTTTGTTCTTGCTCCACAGGTCCCACCCAAGACACCAAGAAAGATTTTAAGGGCCAAGGGTGTCTTAGTTTCTGCAGCTTTTCAAATCCAAAGATAAAATCCATGCAGAGGCCACTGCTAGATAAGAATCTAAAGGAGCTTCCCTGAGGTGGCAACAGTGATGCCACACCTAAAAAGCCTAGAATGGGGGAGAGTTCACCTACCAGTATTGATGGTCTTCTTGATGACAATGGCTACTTGTCCCTTAAGCACAGAAGCCAGGAGCCTGACGATCATGATCAAACAGCCACAGAGCATCAGCACGGAGATAACCAGAAGGATGACGCCAACAACAGCATCCATGAGATTGGCATTCACAAAGAGGTGCTGGCCTGAAGAAACCAGGGTAAGACCTTATTAGAAGAGTCCCCCAAGCCACAGATTGTTATTAGGCCCTAGCTTTACTCCTTCTGTCTTATAGTGACATAATCTTGGTTGTTCACCACAAGCACTCCAGACAGCCCGTCCCAATGGCTGATGCTCTGAGTTCTACTCACACTTGGCAATATTCTCCTTGATGGTCACATTCTTGATGGTCCAGGTGTAGATACCATCTGTCCAACAGAGGTTGGGCGAGGTGCAGTTCTGAATCGAGGGGACGGTGACATTCACCTGAGTCTAGATGGCAAACATAACACTCAATTTTAGTGGGGAGAATGGGGAGACCATTAGTGGGGAGAATGAAGACAGAAGCAGCCAGAAAGTCGAGGGACATGAAAATTCCAAGTGAAGATAATAAATCTGTGTTGTGGGATGGGGCAAAATCTACTGCATTCTGTCTGTCCATCCAGCATGCAAGGACTTATTTCCTTATGGACGCTCACAGGCCAATTTTGATTTTTCAGGAATCCCATATTTTCTTTTGCCTGACCTTTTATTTTCCCACTTCGAATGAAAGAACTTGCTTAAAAGTACAAATGAAAGAGTCCACCCACACATCAATATTCTTAGAAACTTACCACGTTGGTCAAAGTTTTGCACCAAATCTTGATCAGACTCTTGTTCTTAGCTGTTGAGTCATTCAATGCAATCTGGTTGATAACCTTTTTATCCAGCTGAGGAAGGCAATAGACAGAAGAGAGTCAGCACATGCTCAGCCCAAACATGGGAGGGACTCGCAAGGGCTGCTGCAAACAGGGCCTCAGAGGAGGTGAACAGACGGTGAGGCCCTGCAGAGGTGGGCTGGGACTCGCCCTCTCAGCATCTAGACATCAGCAAGTGCTTTATAAATGAGTGAAGATGTGAATAATGAACTGGTACCTAGAAAGTGTGTATGTATTCAATGGGTGACAGATGGCAGAGAAAACCAGAAGTGAGAGTGAGAGGGCAAGGTCTAAGCTTGCCCCTTCTCCAAAGGCAACATTCACAAAGCCTTCTTTCATTTTAATAATATGGACAGACTCTGGTGACTAGAGGGGAAGATGGATGGGAAGGGCAGTAGCCTTTCTTTTTTGCTAGAAGTAGGATAATACTTTTCCAGTGATCCCACTGGTGCTTAGGTCAGTACTGAGACCAAAGTGGCCCCAGGTATCCAGTGGGGAGTACTTGAGCCTTGAGAAGACTCACCCTCTCCCTCCACCCTCCAGCATGACACACATGTGGAGGTCAAGGAAACAAGAAAGGTCTGTTACTCTCCCTAGTGTTTCCCCAGTTTCGTGGCTACTTTCAGAGGCAGCCAAATAGCAGTGTTCAGAGACTCCCTCCTGTCCATCCCAGGCTGAGCGGGGTGAAGGGCAAGGGGGAGGGAGTTGGCACTTGGCCCTTACCCGGATAATGAGATTTGTAAGGGGTTTCGTGATAACTCTAAGAAGTTCCGGGGCATCTTCTCCACTTCTGAAATTGAAGGAGTCCACTATCAGGTTGGTCAGGGCCTCCAGGTAATGGGTGGAAACCTCCACGGGCAGAAGCACCAGCACGGAGAGCCAGTTGAAGAAGTCATGAATGGTGGCCCCTGCAAAAGCCCTACAGAAGGGAACCCCAAGCCAACAGCCAGATTAGTCAATGAGCAAGTGGGCACCAGTCTAGGAAGGTCAACCTATTGAAATATCTCCCACAGGTAGAGCGTCAGTCTGCAGACTGAAAGATCCTGGGTTCGATTCCAGTCAAGTGCATGTACATTGGTTGTGGGCACATCCCTGGTGCGGGGTGTGCAGGAGGCAGCTGGTCGATGTTTCTCTCTCATCGACATTTCTAGCTCTCTATCTCTCTCCCTTCCTCTCTGTAAAAAATCAATAAAATATATTAAAAAAAAGAAAAATATCTCCCACAGGGGTGAGCAAAGTCAACCACATTCCTATGAGCAGGCACCGCCATAGATCACATGCTTATGTTTATGTGTCATGGGTCATCCAGAGGCCAAAAATCTGAATAAGAAAACCTTGAATCCCAGCCATGCCCCTCAGCAAAGTTACTTAGCCTCTTTGCATCGCTACATTAATAAGATGAGGCATAGGAATGCCCACTTGGCTCCTTGAGAAGATCAGATTAGCAAAAAACACCCTGGTAGTGTTTCATCTACTACTACTACTGCCCTCAACCAGTCTGCCCAAGGCCATCTGCCTAACCCACAGCACAAGCATCATTCAGGCAAGCTGAAAACTGCCTCTCCATCTTAGAAGGTTTTTTTAAAAAAAGAAGAAGCTGTTATCTGTTAGAAGAGAGGCCAGGAAATGTGCTTATTTTTTACATTAAACTTTTGGAAGACCAGGGTTCCCTTTGCCTGGTTCCAGCCCGCCCCATTTCATATCTCACACAGCCAGATCCACAAAAGCTACGTTTTGCCTTTCAGTAGCAGGTGAGTGAAGAACAAAGAAAAAGTGGCATGGGTTGAGCTGGCCAAGAATGAAAGCTTCGGGTTATAATTATTTCTGACCAAACAGGACAGGAAACCACCGCCTAGCTGGCCTTGTCTTCACTGCACCACGTTGCAAGTAAGCTTCCACCGTGGGTATTTAGGGAACCCTGCCTCTGTGCCAGGCACCTTGCTAAGTGTTAACCTGTATGGCTGTGTTTACTCCTTTAGACACACCACAGTGATGGTGTTTCCATTCATGAGCCCTACCCTCAGCTGCACTCTGTTATGGCCAGGAATAAGCGACCCAGGTCTGACAAGCACATTCTCAGTGGTGATCTAAAGGTAGCTATGACAAGCTGGCCAACCAACACCGAAGGGCCCGTAGGTGACAAGGGCTGGTTCTGAGCCTCCTACCTTCGGAACACATTCCGGTCTCCCACCTGCATGAGCGCCACGAGGGTGTTGGTGATCGAAGTTCCAATGTTGGCTCCCATGACATAGGGGATGGCAGTCCGCACCGACAGCACTGGGTAGAAAACAGGAAGTCAGCAGGGCAGCGAGGGTAGGTAGGCAGCCTGGCCAGGTTCCTGGTGTGCCAGGGGCAGGCTGAACCCATCAGGCTAGTCGCTGCCTAGAACTGCAGCTCTTTCCCTGTATGCACCTTGCGAAGAATCTGATAAAAGCTAGGGCAACTCATGTAGAAATACTAACATGGATCAAAAAGATTTCTTAGCACATAATTCCAGGGAATCCACAGATCCCCCAAGAATCCACAGCTCCCTCCTGATCTCTACTTTAAAGTGTCTTTCTCAATTTACTCATATGCAAGGCCATCTTCAAGGAGACTAGAAAACAAATAACAAGCATGGCAAATTCCTTTTTCTAAACAAGATTAATATAGTGCCTCAATGTTCTGGCACATAGTTATTTTAAAGAAATAATATCTATTTCTAACTGGGCCCAGAAAAGGCTTCAGTTAATGTTGGCTAACACGCTGGTTTGGGTTGAAAATTCATAGGTTCACACTTGTCCCACTCAGGGAATCTGTCTCCACTGTTAGTCAAGTTCAAGTTTGGAATGGCAGCTGCTAGCCACATATGACTACTGACCATACAGCTAGTGCAACTGAGCAGCCGGGCTATCTATTGTATTTTCAATTAAAATAATTAAGGTTAAATAAAATTAAATAGCCACATATCGCAAGTGTCTGCCGGACCAGACAGCATAGCACCAGATAATTCAGGGTCTATTCTCAGTCTGGGCTGTAGAAATAAAAACAGGAGGCTGCCTGAGGTTCAGGCGAACACATCATAGTAGGACACGATGGGGAAATCATGGTGACAAAAGCCGGGACACATGCAGAGTAAATCCTGGGCTACCAGCTGCTAGGGAAATGCCTGGAATACATCTGGGTTCATGGGTACTCACGTGAGGAGGCCACCATGCTGACGATGATGGATGTGGAGGTGCTCGAGCTTTGCACCAAAGCAGTCACCAGCACGCCGATCATCAGACCCGTCAGGGGGTTGGATATTATAGTGTTGTTGCTGAAGATCTTCCCAGCCATTTTTCCTGGAAAAACAAAACAAATCATGGCCACATGATAGGGGGTTAGGTGGGCACCAAGTGGCCAACATTGGCTGTGGGTTGTGGATCTCTGCCTCCAGCTCTGTTGGCACCTGTGGCAGCTTGCTCTCTCACACATTTCCCCTGTACTGCCTTGATGCCAGGAGACATGCCCCACTCACCCCCAGACCCTGTTCCTCTTGTGGCTTCATCCTGCACCCTCCCTTCAGCTACTAGCCTTCTGGTCTCAATTCTGTACTTGGCCCTATGGGTGCCAGTGAATTTCCTGTCTCAATTCCTATCTCCGGGATGTATTCTCAATTCATAAGATTTGTCCTCCAGGAGGGGATCTTCTCCTCTTTCCACTCTCCCTTTCCCAAGCCCTAGACCTAGCCCCAGCCCCAGCCTGTAATTGAATGCTGAAGGTGTCATTTCTGTGTGTGCCTCTGAGACCACCAATCCATTTTTTAAAGAAGACTGAAGCCCAGAATGTAGAGGTGAATTGTCTTGAGATATTGACAACAAAGCCTCTCCCTGCTATTGCCTCGGACCAGGGGGACAGAAGTGGCATCCAGAAAGTTAGTAAGTCACTTTACCCCAATTCTCCCAGGACACAAAGATGAGTTCTCAAGAGAAGCACCAAGGAGTGCAAAAGTCCACGTGCCAGGTGTCATCCAGAATGCTGTTATGAATGCTGTTATGCCAATTACAGGCTGTGAGCCTTAGGACCTCTTTGAGCCTGGGCCCTCTCCTCTATAAATAGGGAGGGCTTGGGAAGGAATGTTCAAGACAGTCCCCACCCCCTGAAAATGCCCGGACCCAGGAGGGATTCAAAGTGCTAGCTGTCAGTGTCATTGCCCATTTTGGGTACAAAGGTGACCAAACCAGTGGTGATTTCACACTTCAGGGCCACACAGGGCCATTCTCAGTGCTGGATAAAGGTTCTCCCAGTCTGGGGACCCTGTCCTTCTCCAGCAAAAGTCCAGCTTTGATTCCCTTAGTTGCTTTGGCCTAAGATGATTCTTATCCAATACTCCCCTCAGATGGCCGTCACCAAGGGGAAAAAAAAAAGAAAAAAGAGATCCCTTTCAGGCGTCCTCAAACTTTTTAAAGTGGGGGCCAGCTCACGGTCCCTCAGAGAGCTGGAGAGCCGGACTATATGAACTACTAATTCCTACTGTAACACCTCGGCTGCACTCACTGCCCAAAAAACCTGGCAGGCCGGATCAGACTCCTCTGCGGGCCGCATGTGGCCCGCGGGCCGTAGTTTGAAGACGCCTGCTAGATAAACCTATGTCAAACAGCTTCCTGTCTAAGGTTTGTGCACAAACACAAGGCGTTGGGTGCCTGGAACTGGCTCCAGCCCTGGCTCCTGGCCTTGGCCTCCTAAGCCAGCCAGATTCCTGGAGGCCTTAGCTTTCTCCTCTGTAAAATGGAAGATGAGCTGAGGTGGCTCCCAGCCCTAAAATGCAGCTGGAGAGGGCTTGATGCCTTGTGAGGATCTGAACCAAATGAGAGCACCCTTACCCCAGCCCTCCAACCCTTCCATCCATACCTCCAAGCAGCTGGAAGGCACTGCTGAGGATGTCCAAGGAGCACACGAACAGGTAGAGAAACATCAGGAGCAGAACGAGCCTCCCGATCTGTCTCAGGGAACACAGAATCTTCCCTTTGGTGTCTCTCTCTGGGGGAGGGAAAAAACACAAAGACTTTCAGTATCTGAAACCCTGAGGAGTTTGGCAATGAACTCTGAACCTCCCATCCCCCCTCCCCTAGCCAGGGGCCTGTGAGCACTTATGGACAGCTAGGCCCAGAGATGGTGGGCAGCTGTGGCTGCAGTTTCAGAGAAATTACCACTATCGCCCACTTAGTTGAAACCCCTGAAGTGTCTCCATGGAATGTGCACTGGCGAGGAGGGGTTCCGTGTAGTCTGGGACAAGCAAAGCAGGCTCCATGCTCAGCTGAGCCCGTGTCCCTGAACGAGGCGGTGAAGAGCACTTACCACCTGCTAAGTGTGGGGTCAGAGATAATGGCTCTCCTAAGCTCCTCTGAACAGCAGACTCTTTTCTAGGCTGTGGCTGCAAGGTAGCAATCACCGCCTCCATTTGGGGAGTGCTGGGGCAATGCTATGCCCTTAATGGCTATTTTCTCCTCTCTTAAAGTGGTTTGCACTCCCCCCCACCCCAGTCCTGTGAGCCACACATCACCTTACACCCTGAACCAGGAAAACAATGCAACATTTGCTTGCCCGGAAATGCTGACTATACTACCTCTGTCTTCTACAAGACTGCTCTGATGCTTGCATTTAGGAAAGGGGACCCCCCCACCCCTCCCATCCAGCTTTCAGAGCAGGAACCTAACTAACTGCTCACTGCTGCAGCCACAGCACCATGACAGTACCCAGGAGCTGGTCAGCACACAACAGGTAATTAAGGAGCAGCACCGGTGTCCAGCATGGTTATAACCCCAGCAAATGGCACGTCTGCCAAATGAACAAAAGTACAAAAGGGTTCCCTAACCATCACTTTGTGCTTTCACTCCACGCCTCCTAGACTGTCGGGTGACAACCCTGGCCAGGCCCTTTGTTCGAAGGGCATCAGGAGTGGGAAGAGAAGCGATGCTGTCCTGGTGATGAGCTCACTCCCTTGCCCAGCTCTTGACCACTTACCCGACCACCTGATCCCCTTGGGCTGAAGCTCGGGCAGGTCCCAGGGGTCTTCAACGCCAGAGTGCTCCTCTATCAGGGTGGCGGTGGAGTGGTATGACTGAAGTTCAACCTTTGTGTCAGCGGTCCCTGCGACATCTGGCCAAACAAACAACAAAGGTCAAGGAGAAAGGCGGAGGATCAGCCCGGCGTTTCTTGGGGTGCCCACAGGAGGCCCCTTGGGGCTGGATGAGCAGCACTTACTTTTGTTGGGATCCTTTCCTTTTCCATCTGTGGGGGGCTGTTGGCCATCTGTGATGCCTCCGATATATTTACCTGGGTTGGGCTGGGCGTTTTCCACCTCAGGCCAAGGAGCCATGGTCTGCGGGGGGGAACAGAACTTAAAGAAGCAGCCACTGAAAGGAGGCCACTCAGATGTCATGGCTGGGAGAGCTAGCAGCTGCAAGATTTGGATAGAGTGGATGAGTGTTGTGCTTACACCTCTAAGTGTGGGCTCTTCGGCACCATATTACACTCCTCTGCAGGCCTCCTTCAACCACTTCTTAACCTGTGCTTCTTCCATGTCAGCCTCAAATCTCCATTTCAATCTACCCATCTTTGATTTCCCTATGCCCTGTCTTGTTCTGTCTTGAATGTCCCCTTCAGTCAGAAAGAGAATGCAAACTCATCCATCCTCATTGAATCTCCATCTGCCAAGTCCTCACGACCCTCCAAGGTGCCCCCAGTGGACTAACATATATGCTCATATACATTTCACCTGCTTTTACCAACCATCAGGTCTTCTGCGATAAGCAAGACACCTTGGACCAGGTTTAAATCCTAGAGCACATGTGTCAAACACAAGGCCTGCGGGCCAAATCTGTCCCGCCAGGCCTTGCAATGTGGCCCGCACCGCGCTGTCATCACTGCACTCCGCTGCGTTTCCATCACAATGACAGTTTATGACTGTTCAGTAAACCATTCGGCCCGCGATTTAGGCTGGATTTTAGATTTTGGCCCCTTCTCTGATTGAGTTCGACACCCCTATTAGAGCATGCTCGCGCTACCTGCCACAGGGGCCGAGAAGAGTGAAGGCATCTATGTTGGCAGTTCTGATACCCAGAAAGGTGCTTTTGATGGCTGAGCATGAGGCTAGGGTTTATCACATAACCACTCCTTTACTTCGCACCACTAGTCCCTACAGCCAATCTGGCTGTGTTGATAGTCCTTTTGGCTCACCTTCCTGCATCTACCCGTGCTCCCCATGCCAAGAGGAAGTCTTGCAGGCTAGGAAAGGAAACGTCCTGGCTCTCTCAGACCTGGGTAACCAGGAAATGTAGGGCACCTGGCAGTCACCCAACCCCTACACTCTGCTTTGTTTGGGTCTTTCCAACCCGGACCTGCTCTGGGGCTGCCTGTGCTCAGCCCAAGGACATCTGAAAAGGTGGAGAGAGGAGGCATGAGGCAGCGCCCTGAAGACAGGCCAAGATACTCACACCTTCTTCCCCTGCGCGGAGGCCCCAAGCACAGGGAGAATGAGCTCTGCAGCCCAGCACGCAGGGCACTTAGTAGGCTGCTTGCTGAGTGCACTGTGCCAGGCTCTGCTGCAAGCCTCGTACACAAGTTAACCCCATGCATCTCACCCGCACTTCAAGGGACTTATGTTCTTATACTTTGAAAAAATGATCAAGACTTCAAAAATTCCCAAGAGGGTGGTGGCTACTTTTCTTTAGCTTCCTTTAGCCACCACAAGGCAAAATAACCCCAAGGACCCGGTAGTGGTGGGAGGGAGGGGTGTGGGGCAGGTGACAGGGAAGCAATTGGCCTGGTTTTATGTTGTTGAATAGCTTTAGACTTTTAATATGCACTAAAATGATGTTTAAAGACATTTGCCCTCTCTTTGAAGTAGGGCCCATGACCATACCACGCTCCCAGTGTACTTTAAATTTGGATTTAGAGCATTTTAAATAAATCCTTGTAATGATAACTATATCAATTATTTTGCATTGCATTGGGGAGGGGTTAAAGAGCTAATTTATAATGATAAACATTTAAAAACACATTTCAATCATTTTGCAGCCCTCTTTTTTGAACTCTTCTGCATGTTTGAAGTCCGTTGGGATGACTTAACTCACTGGGACAGCCTGCTTGCTCCCTGCTGATACAGCCATTCTGTCCCAAGGGTGGGGGTGGGTTGGTATGGGAGGAGGGGGGTGAGGAAGGTGAGGTGGAAGGTGGCTGCCTTCTTTCTTAAGTTGAACTCGGGCTATTTTTGTCAACTTTGTATCTAACAGTAATAACCCCCAGGTTCCCCTACCACTGGGGGCTTTTTTAATGAGTGGTTGAGTGATTTGGGGTGGATTTTGGAAGCATGCCCTTCTTGCCAGCAGATCATTATCAGCTGGTTGGCTGGCACAAACCAAGAGATTCAAGCATGTTTAGCACTCCGGAACAACGGTCTCCTAGGAGGCACACAACTTTGCAAGACTTCCCAACAAAGAGCAGCCAATGAACTTCAGCAAAGGAGGGCTAACAAACCCAACACGGGGGCGGGGGGGGGGGGGTAGGAGTGCGGGCAGGAAGAGGACTATACGTGATGACGTGATGAAACAGACAAGCTGCCTCCTTGCTAAGGAGCAGGAGAGGTTCTACTCTGTTCACCTGAGTGCCAGTGACCCAGGCAGGCATCCCCCAGGGGATCTGAAGACTGAATTAATGCCAGTCCACCGCCGCCCTCTTTCCGGCCTGGAGAGCCTGGGTTTCTCCCCCGTTCAAACCCCCCCCACACACACACCCTAAGCTGCACCCGTGCACACCTATCTCCTGGTTAGCCATTCCCCTGGTTATCTGGCCCAACACCCTCAAAACCTTGAAAAATTGTGGGCTCTGTTTTTCCAAGACAAGATGAAGGACAGGCCAGCCCTCTCCTGATTCTGGCCACCTGCCCCGTGAACAAGTTTGCACTATATCTAGCAGACACTTAAAGAAACAACAGCTTAGCAGGGGAAGTCGTGCTTGGAGGTGGGGGGGGGGGGGTGTGGGGAGGGGGCGTGCAGCATTGGACAACCACACAGACCTACAATTTCAGCTCAAATCTCAGATGCCTGTTCTTGTAAAGAAGGGGACACAGAGGCCCAGCGACTGATAGACTTGCCTTGGGTCACACAGAGAATCAGTTACTACACAGAACACCTAGCCCTCCTGATGCCGCGTAATACTTTCATTCCCCACCCCCTTTTCCTCCCCAAAACCAGGAGCCCCAATACATCTACTATTTTAAAACTCCCCACGTGTGGCTCATTCATAACTACCAGTTAGCAGGAGTATACTCAGGAGCTGAGAAAGAAATCTGAAAAATTGGAAGCTTATCTTACCCCCCCCACACCCCCTTTTCCTCAGCCCAAAACCAGCAAAGTTCCTTGAGGTCTTGCAGGGAGGGATAGCTAAAAGAATTCAGGAGTTTAAGGTGCTCTCTCCAGGGTGAGATGGGGCGGAAAGTGCCCTGGCCGGGCGCGGTACTCACCAGCGCTCCCTGCGCAGGCAGTGGACCAGGCAGTCACCCAGGTGCAGTGCGGCGGCCGGTTATATAGCCAAGGTGTTGCGCAAAGAGGCCAGTGGCAGGGGCTGTCACCACGCCCCTCGGCACATTCCAGGACCGCCTGTGGCCGCCAAGGCTCTGCCTACCTGCTGGCTTAATGAGCCCAACGTGACTCGCCCAGCTGCTCTGCTCAGCCTTTCCCAGGAGCCGGCGGGCAGGGCAGCGAGCGCGCTCTGCTTGCGCTCTGCTCTTCCCCAACGCAGGACACAGAAGATCCCGGCACATGGGCGCTAGTGGGGCTCCGGGTTCCCACCTGTCCCCTCCCCAAGAACCTGAATCTGCTAGTTTAGCTGCTCTGGAGCAGAGGAAGCCAGATAAAGACCAGCTAGAAAACTCAGGGACAAAAACCTTTCAAAACAAAGCCAGGATTGTTCGGCCCCACGGGTCTTGGGGATGCTTTCTGCATTAGTAGCCCGGGCTGAGCCATGGACACTAGGAGCCCTGGGTCTGAGGCGGGACTTGGCTGGATGAGGTAGGTTGAGGAAGCAACCCATGGCCCTGTTTCACCACCTGAGCTGCCTGTGTGTACCCTATGTCGTCCCTCCTCTTTTCCATTCTAACCCGCGCCAGGGAGAGCCCATCACCACACTTATCCTAACAGCAACCGACCAGGCAGACACGTTTCCAATGTGTACACAAGCTCCTTCCCTGGGCTCAAAGTAGCCCCTAAGGAGGGTTTAGCGTGGTGGGAGGCATGACATGGGATTGCTCGGGATTTGCTGAGCCAGGATCAAACCTGGGTCTCATTGCAAAACCCAGGTCTTACTCCCTCTGCCACAGGGCCCTGGTTTTACAACCGAAGAAAATGAAGCTTAGCAGCTAACTAGCGGACGGGCTGCCCACAGCTAATATGTAGTGGGCGTGCCTTATGGGAGGTAGGCTGGTTTCACTCCACAGCCAATAGCTCTCTCCGCCTCCCCCCCACCCCCCTCCCGCTCCGGGGAGAAGTCGGGAGTACTGCTTCCAGGAACCTGCCGAGCAAGCCAGGATCTCCCTGGGGCTGACTGGCATCACACTGCCTGAGATCAGTCCCATCAGTCCCGGGTCTTGCCCTTTGCTCCCCCTGCCTTCTCTTGCTCCTGTGTGAAATAGAAATGCTGGTCCCTATCTGAATAAGATGAGCTAAAGTACCTTAGCACATAGAACAGTACTGGCTCCGGATGAGTGCTCAGTGCTAACCATGTCAGTTTCCCTGGGAAACTCCCATGTTGGGAGATGAATGGAAAGCTTTGATTAGACTCATCTAGAACCTTGAGGCCATTTATTACACAGCCTCAGATGCTGGTTACATCGGTCCAGAGGCCAGGACATACTGCTTGGAGAGTGGGCATTTCACATCTTTTTTTTTGTTGTTTTTTGTTTGTTTGTTTGTTTGTTTGTTTTTGTGATTGTCTGAAATTTCTATGACCTTGCTCCGGATGCAGCAGAGCAAGGCCTCAAATCATTCCAAAATGTTCTCGCAAGCACTGTAGGAATGCACAGGGTCACCCCAGACTCAAGCACGCTGGAGGCTTGCAGTTCACATCTCCTTTATCACCCCCAACAAGGAGCTAATAGACCAAAATTTCAAAAAACTTGGAAAAAGAAAGGCTTCCCTTTTATGTCCCAATTGAAAAGGCGAAATGCTGGTCCAATCAGGAGACCTTTTTAAAAAGGTGTATGGATCTTGATAATAGCTCAGGGCTGATGTCTGTCTGACTCTCGTTTTGAATTGTAGTTTTTGTATTGCTTTTTGTACTGCGTTGGGGAAAAGTATACTGTGTGTAGACTCTCTCCCTTAGTTTGATGCAGAATATTTTTGTCTTTATTCCATCTCAGACACAGAACCCTATCACCTCACGTTCATACTTGTTTGTGCCTACTGCCATCCAATAAGGCAGAATTGGTTGAATTAAATGGTATCATTAATTTGATCTTGAGCATCTTGCCTCCAGGCTATAAAACTGTGAGCTAATTAGTATAGGCCCACACTCCTTACTGAGCTCCTGGGGCCAGGCATGCTCCACATTTGAGAACTTTCCCATTCTGGAAAGTAAGATGCTGTGAGGAACTTCCTGAGTTATCACTATAACTATATGTAGCAGTGACCTCCCTGCTTTAGCACCCATCATTATTATATTGGTATTTCTAACCTGTTGTGGATTAAGAGAATAGCTCACCTTTCTCAAGTCATAAAAGCTGTAAAGCAAAAGTAAGTAAACCCAAAAGGTCTGATAGGTCTATTAGGTCTATTTCTGTGCAGCTTTGACAGCCTAGACTAAAATCAGGGCATTCCCAAATGATGTATACACATTTTAACAACTGGTAGCTCAATTGGTGTTTCTTCCTTTTCAGATTAGCCTATTGGGATGAATAATGGCAGCCAACGTGTGCATCCATTTTTTGAGGGACACCCCATATTTACTATTAAACTACTATTTACTATTATAAGCAGGAAACTTTCTTACTACATAATGCTGGGCTAGGTTCTAAATAATTGAAGCCATTGGCACTAAACTCCCACTTCCCAAGGACACACATATTAGAAACAAGACTAACAAGTTGGGCTCTGCAGAGGGCTGTGATAACCAGGATGGATCGGTCTCACAACTTGGGTGAAGACCAGGAGTCCACGGTGAAGAAAGGTGATTTCTATGCCATTTGGACCTTTTGCTTCTGTCACTGTGTTCTTGCTATTCCTGTACCTGGGACATTCTCACATTTTTACATGGACATTCCTGTCCTTCAGGTCTCAGAGAGCTTCACTGAGGATGTCTCTTCCCCACAGTCATTATCACCCTATTTGTTTTTCCTTCATAAATTATGGTATGACCTTTGCAATGACAGACTTCCAAATACATTGTCTCTTCATGGGTTGGGGGGTTGAAATATAAAGGTCTCAATTGTTCCCTCAATATTTCACTTTCTACTTCAACATTTTTAACTTTAAGTTACTAGAATATATAATTTTTATCACAATTCCTAATCACGTAATCAAAGTCAGAAGATGTAGTAAAATTAAGCAGTGACTCACAACTCTGAACATCTCCCCAGAGGCTGAAATCCTCTCGCTTCTGTTCTCCGTGGAGTCTGGGTCCAGCAAGCCTGTTGGAGAGGTTAAAGGAAGACATGTTGAGTGACTCCAAAGCACCTCACCTCACAGCCCTTTAGCTTCTTCGGGGTCCTGCGACAGTGCTGGTAATTCTAGGGGTGCTTAGTCAGGCCTACTGACAAGCTATGGACCCCCTTGGATGCAGCCAGAACTCAGGAAATGTCAAATAACGTTACCTCGCCGTGAAAAAGCACAGGTTTAGATAGAGAATGGAACTTGGGCTGACATAATTATAGGCTGTTTTCAACTTGACTTAAATATGTACACAACATTCAGGGAAAAGCAATACACAAAAATGTTCACAGTGGTTATCTCTGGCAGTGGGAGCTGGTGGCTCTATTTCCTATCTATTTGTATAAGGCTCCAAAAAGAATTCAAGACAGTTTACAGATTGACAAAGAAAATTAATTCAAAAATAAGTGCAGAGGTCAGAGGGGGGGGGGGGGGGGGGGGGGGGGGAACTGGGTGAAAGGTTAAGGGATTAGCCAAAGAGCATATATGCATAACCCAAGGCACAGACAATAGCATGGTGATGGCCAAGGAAAAGGGGGAGGGGGCCTAACAGGAGGGGGGCAAAACTCAGGGAGGGATGAGAACATCAGCAATAATGTCAATTTTTTTTTTTTAATAAAAGAAAAAGTGAAAAGAGGCAGAGAAATGTAGGGAGGTGAGAGGCAGGATCCACACCACAGCCAGGCTGGACGTGAGAGGAAGGCCAGGTGTAACCGAAGGCCTCAGAACAGTGGACTGACCCACTTACTCCCCCTCAAAGGGGCAGCAGATGCTGCTGCTGGAAATGAGGGCCAGGGCTGCTGTTCCACATTTCAGAAGCCAGAAGGTAAGACCTCTAGGTAAGATTTCAGAATGTCTGATGTTGGTTCAAAACTTTCTTTAAAACCAGCTGGTGTTGTTCAGTGGTTGAGCATCGACCTTTGAACCAGGAGGTCACAGTTTGATTCCCAGCCAGGGCACAGGCTCAGGTTGCAGGCTCGATCCCCAGGGTGGGGCGTGCAAGAGGCAGTTGATCAATGATTATCTCTCATCACTGATGTTTCTAAATCTCTCTCCTTCTCCCTTCCTCTCTGAAATCAATGAACATATATTTAAAACTCCAAGAAACCAAATGAAATTTCATCTCAGGCCAAATGCACTAGCTACTCCCTTGTTCTCTCTCCACCAGCATCACTGTTTAAATCTCCCTAGAACCTAGGATCTCGAGAACAATACAGTATGAGCAGCATGAAGCCAGGGGTGTTTTGTCTCCTGCCGCTGTGTTCCACAAACCTTAGAGGGATGCCCAACTCAGAGCACAACTGACATTGTGGAATGAATGGCAGAGGACATCCTACACCAGCATCATCGTGACCTGCCCCTTTGTGCCTGTTCCCTCTATCAGGTCCTGGCTCTCAGCAGGAGGAAGGCCCCCAGGAGCTACCTGACCGCAAGCATCACACTCCCACCCTCCCTCCAAAGCACCTGATGCTTCCCACGATTAATGATCATTAGCCTCGGAGGGTGAGGAGGGGCTCCGTGCCCCGTGTTCATGTTTACACTGGGCAGGTGTCCAGCGGACTGTAAGCTGGGAGCAGCCGCTAGTTATCAGAACAATGCAAGCTTCTGTCCTTAAGGGAACTCAATAAAACAGATCTCATAACCTCTGAGAAAGGGCAAGCAGGTTTGCCATTTTTAACTGCTACCTTAGCTGTTATTTATTCTTTGGGGTCTGTAGGAATGGGGAGGGGCACAATTGAATGTGACTCAGAAAAAATGCAAAGGCAACCTGGCCAAGGCAAAAGTGGGCCCCTCCCAATTTGGGGTCAATTCCCACGATCCCTCCTTTATGGTAAATCTGGCCAAATTTCACTTCTTCCCTTCTGAGATGGTCTATGGAGATGTGAGTAGACCTGCTATCATGTGATATATTTGCTTTGATTTCCCCGTTCCTCCCGTTATTAATGTTGTGAGCAA